CTGCTTGGTGTGAACCTTTTGTGTTTATTGTAATCTGAATCAAGAAAAGGGTAACTTTTAGGCTGACCCAGACAGACGAAGTATATGCCCAGATGATGCTTCAGCCAGTTCTTTTGGTATGTATTAGCCTTAATTGAAGTATATTCTTATCCTTGTGTTTGATAATAAAAAAACTGATGCACATTTAATATGCAGTTTGATAAGGATGCATTATTAAGATCGGATCTATCGACGAAAGCAAATAAACCACAAACGAAAATTTTCTGTAAAACCTTGACTACAAGTGAGAGAAGCCCTCATGGCCATTTTTCGTACCTCGCCTTGCAGCAGAAAAGATTTGCCCTCCTTTGGTACGTTAAATGATCACTCTATCAAGGGCTCCCACCCCATTCCCACCTTTCAAACCTTTGTCAATTCACATTTATGTTTTGTGTTGACAGAATTTTATCTAATTTAGGAATTCTCATGGCAACCACCTGCTCAGAAGCTTGTGGCGAGAGATTTGCATGATAAATTATAGAAGTTTCGTCATATTTATAAAGGTAAGCTCACTTTGGATATTTTTCTTTTTGAGTAAACTGGGAGTACATTAACTATTAAAATTGAACATATGAATGAAATTAATGACAAGGGCCGCAATAATAATTACCCCCATAATTTTTACTTCTTACTTGCTTCTTTTAACTTTTCACAATTAAATTTCCTGTCTCAAGAAAACCAAAGAGCCAATTGCTAGCGACTGGATGGAGCCTTTTTGTTAGTCGAAAGACATTGTTTGCAGGTGACTTGGTTTTATTCATTAGGGAATGATGTAAGTTTTGGGAATTTGTTTGTATGAACTATGAAGGGACTGGTTGTTTCCTTTAACTAACTAATTATTAAAATTATTGTGGCAATCAACTGGACGAGATACCATCTTTTTACACACCCATTGCACATATGGATTGTATCATGTATTGTGAATCTTTTGAATGAGGGCCAAATATGACGATATTTCGTTGAAATTTCTAATTTTCTGGTGTTATTTGTTTATTGCTTTTATTAGGTTGACGCACTATAGTGTTTGTTTTCCTCCTCTTAATGTTTGTGGACAATGGACTAGCTGCTGGAATGGACTTGTAAGGCCTCCCTTTTCTTGAGATGTTGATGGTATATTTATATTATGTAGCTAAACTAATACTTTTGCCACTCACATTATTGAGTCTATTATGACCCATACGATTCTTCATTTACTGCTGACATTTTAATGTGAAGGACAAATTGTTTCATATTAAACTTTTTGAATTTAAGTTCGGGGTTGTAATTCAAATTTAGCAAATTATGCCAAGAATTTACTTGATTAAATATCTGGTAGTCAATATGAAATTCTTTTATGTGCTAGCACACATACTGGAATACACGTGATGTTTATCTCAATTTACGTAAATCATTTGGGGAATTGATTATAAACTTTGGTCTTAATTTGATGTATTTAGGCAATTGGAGTTGAATATGGGGAAGGTTTTGAAACAATTAGGCCAAATGGCCCCCTTAAAGTTGATGTGGTAAGCAGCCTCGAATTTACTTCATATATTCTATTTTGATTGTTTCTTGAAATTAAAGATATAGTAATGGTTAATCATCTTGAAAATGAGTATTTATATCATATTTTTCTTGTATCAATTAAGATATTGTGTAGTGTGGAGCATGATGATTTGAAAATGCTTGTTTTCGTATAAAAAACACTAAGAAATGCAGTAAGATTTTGTAATTTTCAGAATGATTTTGATATTTTTATTATTATAAGTCTTGATTTACGAATTTTATTCGAATAGAACAGACTTGAATTGCAAAACAGTGGCATTTTGCATATAATACTCCAAGAAAGACTGTCAAATTCCAAAATGTGGACAGTTTGTACGAATTCAATGAAGTTAAAGCCCCCAATGCTCCAAAGCAATTGAAAGTTCCAAGGTCTCAATTGAGTACAAAGAAGCTAGCCGACATCTCAGCAACCTTCTTCTCATATAGTAGCGAAGATAATGGGGCACGGAAAAATTTATTAATGACAATACGTACAAAGATATGAAATTAAAGTTTTGTATATTTTAGAATTATTTGTACATATAGAAGCAATCGCTTTCAAACCTACTTTCTTCAACTTTTCCATTGAAGATAGTTTGGCTTCTCTTTAATGATTTGTGAACATATATGTAGATGAAGTCTTGAAGCTCCGTACTGGCGCTTTTATTGCACATTGAATTCTGACCATTAAAGTATTGCTTCTATTGCACATTTCATAAATTTCAAGCAATTAAAAGTTTAGATCTTTCTCTTACTCTTGCTTACCTTTTATCTTATTTATTTATTTATTTATTTTTCATTGAAAGATACCACTACAAAAGTTGTTGCTTCTAAAGTTAATCTTAATATAACGAGTGTTTCAAAATTCATAACAAAAATTATTATTTTGAACTGCTTTCAATATTTTATATCCAAGGTTAACATATCTTCTACTTTTCTTCATATAGTTTGCTTTTTATCTTTACTGTTTTCTTGTTAGACTTCCTTATGCACCAACTAAATATTTTCTTCGCTTCTCAAAAATTTATTCAATGTAATTCTCTCTCATAAATACTTAATACTCATGTAAGTCAACACATTAATATCACTTTCAAGAAGAAACTAGTATAGAACAAAGATTATAGACTTGTTTTACCAATGCAATCATTCAACATATTGTTTGACTTTGCTTCCCACGTGATCAAGCTCCTTCAACACTATTTATTCTATATATTTATTTTTTATCATGCATTCACATAATAAAATATTATATACGTAAATTCAAAATTTTCCCTACTTTTTAATATCATATTCTTAAAAAAATCAATATTCAAAAAATGCCCATCAAACAGGGGGCTAAATATGAAATGCAATTTTTAATTATTACATAGACTACTATACTACACTAAACAACAAAAATCGAGCATTACAAGCATCTTAATATTTTGTGAACATCAAATGTGTGCAAGTAATTTTTCAGTCACAAAATCTACAAGTTCATTGTGGAATTTTGTTTTCAAATATTTGCTTTGAATCAGTCCTAATGACCAAGAACATCGCCTTGATTGGAGTTTTATCGTTGATTATTAATATGCTTGACCAATTCTGCAGTCCTTGTTTCTTGTCCCATCTTGATCCTAATTAAATTTTAAGTGGAAGAGAAGAGAGGGGCAGGGAGGGTGCTAATGAATAGACAATTTTTTTTGTATAGCAAGTAGTTGGCGCCATTATGTAATTGTTTCTTTAAAGTGTCTTGTTATGCAATTATGTAAATCTTAATCATCCATGTATGCGGGATAATCTAGTGGAGATTGGCATATTTGCTATTGATATTATTGCTGCTGCTACTATGAATGCATGAAATCAACTTATGGATTAATGTCATGGCCGCTAGAAGCAGTATTACAATTTGCCACCCTTACGATAATCTGTTAGTCTTATTACATGGGATTGCTCTTCAATCCATTCTTTTGATATTAGAGATCAACCATGTTAACGTTAATAGTAAAAACTTACTACATTTGCTTGACGAACCCATATTTGGATCTTAATGGAGAATGTCAAGTTTAGTATGAAGTCGACGAAAGGAATTCCCACATCACTAGTTATGAATTATGTGTTTTGGTCATGGTGTATTGGGAGGGTATCCCTCATTCTTAATAGCTGATTTCTTACATTCGAAGTGTCATCAATCAATAAGGACTCTTGGGCAAAGGTTGTTTATATACTAGGTGTTACAACTGCATAGGATACAACGCACCCCTTTCAAGTCAATTCAAAATTTTATCTCATGTTTGGTGGCTATTAAAATTTGGATTTTTATCAACAAAGTTAATAATTATTTTTAATCATATATTGCGTAAGATACACAACGTTTTAATTATATATTTTATCAACTTTTATCAAAATATGTTAAAATTTTAATTTTAATCCACGCCAAATAAGTGGTTAGTGGTTGGTATAGTCAAGTTGGTTTAGAACATTTAAACTCGATTACAAATCTGCCAATTTTTTGGAGAATGATTGAGCATTGACAAGTGTAACATTGTAAACAACTTTTTACCCCGGGAATATTGTAGGTCTTTGAGAATTGCACAAAACCAATGTTGTAATAAAAGTCAAATATTGAGAGTTGTGACCGTCTGCTTATAATTGAATCATAATATTTTATGATTTAGCAAATGTCTTTGGTAGCTCCATAAGTTTCAAGTGAACGTCTTAAAATTATTGAAATTCCGCTAGTTTAATGCCCATGAATTGAAATCAAAATTTTAATCTAAATAAAAATTAACAATTGATTTTAATCATAAATTTAATGAAATTTACAACTTTTCAACCACACATTTCATCAACTTTTATTAAAATTTAATAAAATTCTTATTTTAATTCCCATCAAACAATGTATAAATATGGACTAAAGTTGGAGATCAAAGTTATTGAAAAGTCAAAAGTTATTTTTGAAAATAAGAAATTGCATTTAAACGTATTTGAATTTTCTGAAAGTATATCGTTTGACTAGAAAAGTTAAAAAAAATAAAAAATGATCTAAAGTAACTTTTCAAAACGATTTTATATAAGTAGCAAGAGTTTTGATAAAGAATAATGTTATTTAACATTAATTGTGTTACAATATCATTTTTGATGATGTTAAGTGATAGGCACAACCAAAGGTAAAATTAAGCGATTTATTTAGATATACATCTAATTTATTCTCTGATTAGAATGAGAATTTGATTTTATAGTAGTAATTTTTTGAGAATGTGTAATTAAAAATAAAGAAAAAATTTTGAATTTGTGTGAAATATTATTTTATTAGAAAATGTATGATCGATAAGAATAGAGGAAAAATGAATTATACTTTAACGTGGGTTAAACAAATGCTCAGTTTAATTCAAATTGTTGTTCTCGTAGTGATTTGCAATATAAAAAGAAATATACGCTATTCATCATTAAAGTGAGAAATTTGTAAGACAATACTCGTCCTTGACAATGATACACGCCTTTCATTTAAAAATTACAACTTTAGAAGGTGCGCCATTGAACAAATATTTTCATTGCCCATTGAAATCGGACGGTGGAAGCTATGGAAATTGATCGTGGAAGTACGTCTCATGATCAAATCACGCGGAAGCGTATGTTATTCTCCATGTACGCCTTTATAATTATTTAACGAAATTTTTAATGTGATGTAAAGAGTTTCTGAAACTCTTTTTTTTTTTTTAATTGTTTTTCAAAGATGGGGAAGATAAAGAAGAAGAAGAAAGGGGGAAGTTAAACCCTATTGTGGTGTTACTAGTGGGTGCACCCGGAAGTGGAAAATCCACCTTCTGTGATCACGTTATGAAGAATTGTCCCCGGCCTTGGGCCCGCATTTGCCAGGTAGATTTATATGGACACAAACTGTTTGCTGAAATGCGTGAAAGGGTTGAATTTGATATTTTTTTTACGGATGTGTATACTGTCGAATCGTTTCTGAATTGCTTCGACAGGTTCCCCGTCCTCATTTTTTGTGGTATATTGTTATGTGCTATAATTTGTTAACGTGTATGAGTTTATGGACTAAACCATTGATTCAGTGAAGTGTTTTTTTACTGAATTTAACTCCCTTTGTAATGCTTGTGCAACAGATCTAATTAAGTAGTTTGTAGTTCATTTTGGTGATAATTTTATTCGTGTTATATTTATGTACAATTATATATAAAAACCCGGTCTTTCTATTTCATGTGTCATTGTAGGCGAAAGATTATTTTTTGTTGACACTGTTCGAGATATATCTCTTGTTGGCTTAGTAAGTCCTTATCCTTTTATTCGTAATTCAGGACACTATTAGTAATGGCAAGTCTGGGACAAAAATCCAGTGTCTAGCCAGTGCAGGAACTGCATTAAAGGATGGTAAAAGTGTATTTATAGACAGATGCAACCTTGAAAGAGAGCAGCGTGCAGAGTTTTTGAAGCTTGGTGGCCCAAAAGTTGAGAAGCATGCTGTAGTGCTTGATCTTCCTGCCAAGCTCTGTATTTCTCGGTCTGTGAAGCGGAGTGGGCACGAGGGCAACTTACAAGGTGGGAAAGCTGCTGCAGTCGTGAATCGGATGCTGCAAAAGAAGGAATTACCTAAGTTGAGTGAAGGGTTCACTCGAATTACATTCTGTCAGGATGAAAA